TACCTTTGATTACCAACATCCGAAAACCATAAAAAGCGCACACTTGACAGACTGTGACTTTTGCCGTGGAAAAGTGGGAACCTTCGTCGATTACTATGTGTATACAGGTGCGAGAGAGCTCTAAGTGTAGCTGCTCGAGTTTCAGGGAGATCTGATCAACCGAGCTTTCCATCCCCAGTGTACCTGGCTAATTAAGTCTTTGCGTGCAGACACAGTATCTGGACAACAACAGCTAGACTCATGAGTTGTCGTCCCAAATAGCCATCTGGATACTTTAACGCCTCTGAATGGAAGTTTAGTGCGTGGCGCATCCCCTGGGGTCTGGTAACATCGACCTTTGTCTTTCATGCTTTTTCCGCGATATTGGCTCCAAATCGAACCCTTATTGTGACATTATACAGCGGAACAGCCATGGAGACTTGATAACTGGTTGGGAAACTCCTCATTAAGTCATCGACCTACCTTGCGAGAACTAGTAACAGCAAGAGTTGAGAAATAAATGGTTTCGGATAAGAAGAAGTGGCTGACACATAGCGCTTCTTTGAGTGTCGCTTTCCTTGAAGAGAACCCCATCAGGCTATGCTCATCATATCCTGCAAAGATAAGGAGCGTAGGCGAGCTATCGTCGTGCCGCGTCAGCGATGATAGAGGTTGCCAACGGCTCAACTAGTTAGATGTGTTTGAGTTTCTAACTTTCCGTCGTTTAACCCTATCCATGCGCAAGAGAGTAGGGGGGGGGTACTTTGAAAAATGCGTCAAATTCTCTGAGTTCTGATCTCTCAATACATGAAGCATTCACGAAGCGATGCCCCTATCTAGTTCATATTCTCGGCGTTTTCTGGCGCACATCCTCTCCACAATTTATCACGGTTGGTAGGAATTCCATCGTAACTTGCCCTTCTGCCATCATTTTATTTCTCACTCTGGCTTTCTTGTACTGCTTTTTAAACAAGAATTGCTAGTGCCCTCCCCGGCGTTGTCCCTTTTGGGATGCGCCACGCATTCTACTTCCATTTCAAATTCGTAGTGGCGTTTGAATGCGATGTGGCCTATACAATGACTTGCGGGGGCCAGCCGATGTACAAGTCAGTGTTTTTATCCTCCCAAGTCACCAATTAAAACCGTGGGATGGAAGGCTTGGAGGCATATCAGAAATCACAGATAAACCTGTCATCGACCTGTCGGTGCCCGTTGGATCATCTATCTTTGCTCGAGCGGGGCGCAGAGGTGTGAATGTGCAAGCGTGCTCCATTCGTCCTCTGTGCGCGTGCAAGAGGTCCAGTGGAACGCTCTCGCGCTTGAAGGAAACGGTAGTCCGTTCATTCTTCTCGTTCAGAGCTTTATCACAATAATGTGGCTCGTATTTGTGCGAAATGGGCCGATAGCGAAAAAAAAGAAACAATATCCGTCTAAACGCTTAGGTTAAGGGATTGCTCACCTTGGAAATCGTGTGTGCTAGGGCTATGAGGGACTAAGCGCGGAGAGGAGAGTATGAGAAGAGAGAGTGCAGCAGATGCCAGACCACAGCATGATAGGACACACACATTGCAGTCAAGCGGCTTAATTTCAATGCTTAGCGCCCTTACCGGCACGGTTCGTAACGGCAATGGCACACTAGGATTGTCCTCTAGGTTACCTGTGACAGGGGAATTTGTTCGACTGGCAGCTTTGAGCTTCCGCTGGTTTGCTTGAAAAATTCTGCCTAGTAGTTGTTTGTCCATATTTGTGTCTGGTAATCTTTGACTTGATCGATTTACAGGTCTTTTATGCGAAGCGCCCTGTTTGCGTTAGTCAGTTTCCTAGTGAGCCTAAGTAAGTGTAAGCTAAGCCTGTAACTATGCCTAATCTTGAAGTTAGTCTGTCTCTCCAGCCGAAGTTATTCATTACAGCAGAATCCTTGACTCTATCGATCTACCCGTGTCTCCATCGAAGGTTTTAGTACGTTCAGTTTTCTAGTGAGCCCAAGAATAAGTGTAGAAGCCAAGCTGTAACTGGGCCTAAATCCAGAATGTCAATAGCTGCTCGTCCAGGCCAAGTATGCGTTACGCAGCATATTCCTTCGGGGAAAGGGCGTTGTTTCTTTGCCTCTGTAATAGCCAGTTCCAGATACCCACCGAAATTGGGTGATACGCGAATTGCGAACGTGTAGGACATTTCTACGCCCTGATCACATTTCACGCCGAATCCATCAAGCGAATGACCCTGTTCCCAATTCGGCGAGCATGTTTTCGCTCGACAAGTCGCACGGTGAAACATGACCCCGAATGTTGAGCATTAAAAACGATCTGTGTTTCGCGAGCGCATATGTCTATGTAGGTATAAAAAGATATAGGACGAGGGGACGGTCGTTAAACAACCCTTCCGGGAACGCCACAAACCCGCTTCCGTTTGGAATTGTGGACACATTTGAATGCGCTCCTCTTTTATGCACTAACTTGCGAATTCACCCTTTAGGCAGGTCGAAATTATTACCCTTCTGTGCAGAAATATTGCTAGCAAATCAACTCTAAAAGGGTGGAAGAGTCACCTCCCTTTCAAAAAACGAGAAGAGCGTCGGGTGCAGACCATACACCACAAGTGACGACGGCCTCCAAGTAAATCTGGTTAGTAGTGGTTCATAGCTGATTTTTGGTAAATGATAGTTGTAATTAGTGACAACTGATAGAATACAACTGCAACAGGCTAATCATTTCATTGGCAGAAAACATTTACATTTTGTGGAGGCCGTCGTCACTTGTGGTGTATGGTCTGCACCCGACGCTCTTCTCGTTTTTTGAAAGGGAGGGTAGTTCTTGGGGCGTTTGATCCACTGAGCATCGCCGTTAATCAGTGTGCTTCTTCGTTGCAAAGATGGGGAGTTTAGAATGTATGAAGAGGTAAGGAAGTAAATAAGTTAATAAATAAGTGAAAACAAATAAATTAATAAGTGAATTGGCAGAAGTTGGCCCTCCCGCATGATATGTGGTGGAGGCTCCTTCCCTAGAGAGATTGCCTACAACTAGGAATTACCGGAGCCAACGCAGTCGCTATCGTAGTAGCTCTTGACCCCTCTCTCCGTCGTTTTCCAACAATAGTTTCCATCGCCTACTCTCTCTCATCTCTTCTCGTGTTTCTCAAATTGGGACCACCAGTTTGATCTAGATATTAGTGCTGAAGATTAACATCAAAGATCGGTTTGAACTGAACTGCGTTCACTTTCCTTACGACACAGCGCGATAGGGTGAAGGGTCCAGTTTTCACCCTTGATGCTCAGAGCTATAAACTGCGCTTAGTGTTGTAAAGTCATGATCCGAAGTCTACACTAATTTGACGCTATCATCTATGCAGCCCCGGAAATGCTCAGAGGACGGATTGCCCTGCCTCCAACCGGGGAAGACTTCTGATTTGCCATGGAACTTTGAAAGGAGACCTTGGGTCATTCGATTCAGACAAGGCTGCTGATTACAAACTTAGAGACCAAACTGTTACTTGAACTTTTCAAGCACGTTGTGAGCTGCTACAGTCAGCAGGAAGTGCCGCGTCACTATATTAGAAGAGTAAATATATCCGTGTAAGCATTTTTAGTTTTCACTCAAACTTTGCCAACAGGGAGAAATAGGTGACCGTATCAGAAATATGACATTCACCTTGACACAGACACATCTGGCGCCTATTTGGCACCACAACAAACTTTTCCTATGTGTTTTTGCCAGTTTCGCCACTTATAATTTGCTTGAAGGCATACCTCAGGAT